CAATAAGGAAGACGTGACGGCTAACGTGCTTCGATCAGGAGAAATGTCCTCGCAAAAAGATGATGTCTATTCTAATATATTTTGATGMTGTAGTGTATATTCTGCCAGTGCCTTACCAGGTACCAGATACCTTACCTGAAAGATGCTCAATTTTAAAAGGAGGAGACACACCGAAAAWTAACGAATGTGTCAAAAGCTAATAATGACATGGACAGTATAAAAAGACAGACARAAGGAAGTTTAAATATTTGCTTGCATAATTTGCTTTAAGCTCCCAAGCGGCAATATTCTTTAAGCAGACTTTGCGATGCATGCCGGATCATCCAGGCACAAGATCCAGCCCCCGGCCAATCACCAAATCAACTGACTTGCATCGATCCGTGTCCCTTATTAGCTGGTTCCCACTTGATTTGCATTGTTTCGTCTCTAAAAGATGATCGAAGGCAAATCATCGGTATCCATGAATATTTCATGGGTTTTTCATGGTCCATGATATCATAGTTTAGTTTTTATTGTGTTATGAATAAAAGATCAATTCTTCCCCGACAAATCTGGGGACGATAAATTTTGTTTCCTTTTTTGTGAAGCGATGAATATTCCGCTGAGGAACCGAATTATCGTCACTGCTATCTTGGCGTTGATTGTGGCGGCACAATGTAAGTATTGTGGGGCATTGGAGAATAATACAGGAATAGAAGAAGCGCGSTTAAAGCGTTGATTACGGTGGACGAAATATACCGKATCAAACTTGATCMATCTATGGTTCCAATGTATTCTCTACATATATAAAATGGATTGTTTTTAGATGCCGTTGTGTAGGTTGATCTGTATTCCATGCTGTGTATATCGGAGTGTTTTCGGAGTGTAGATGGTACATATTGTCTTGATAATCAAAGGTTACCTGCTCTTGTGACGGGTTCATGAACGCAACAAGAAAAGAACAAATCTTTAGTGATTACTACACTAATGGCTGTAAATCGTCTAACACTAAATAATAATGGGTTAAAATAATAAGGTGGCATTGACAAGCTAAAAGGGCTGCTAATTATCTAGTATAATAAGGTAATTTTAAAGAATATTCGTGGTATCTATATTGAACTTCCTAATAAAGTATCGCATGCATTAGACTACAAGCTACAATCCATTTATTTTTTTAATCGCTTTACAATATCTGCTTCACTAACAACAAGCCAGATAACTTAAGGAAGGCAACTGGCCAATCAACAAGACGATCTTAATAAGTATGCTTAACAAGGCTGTTTTACGTTGTCTTTTATTCTTGACGTACAAGGTTACCCAGCTAAGACGAAAAAGGGAGGAGGCCATCACAGACGTCAYCATAGAGGTAGGTAGAAATACAATTTTGCATATTTRCTGATTTTACAAACAAGACTTTGATTTTGGAAGGTCTTTGATTCAGGCATCTATACTAAGTGAAGATAGTGTAAGCTAGTCCTAAATATCGTAAGTCCGTGAGAAGTAAAATGTTCAAAATACCTCATATAAGACAAAGTACCAATACTACTTACTGTGAATAGGTCATGGAAAGTCCAACACCAAAAAAGATTCCGTTAACCAGCGTTTTATGGGTGAGTGAATCCATACAGATTGCAGATATTGTATAACTTTCAATGCCATTTAACTTGAGCCGCAGCTCAGACGTCGCATTTTCCAAGAGCCCGAGATTTTTACGTTAATTTTAGTATTAGTAACTAGCACTCCCCCCTAACGCCGTTAGGGGGGAGTGACCTAGGAACGAACGTCCTAATGGCTACGAGAGGAGACTATCTGCGAAAGAGACAAAGCTAAACTGAACCAATTAATAACTTATATTGTTGAAGTACTATAGCAACAAACGCCGTCTGCTCGTAGCAGTCTTATAACCCAAAAGTGACCATAAATCTGAGTTAAAGGGCACATTGTTTGCTTATTGGTCCAATATGTGCCTTTGTTTATAGGAGCCACTATGATGCGCCCTGGTAAACTTGGCATGTCCGAAGAGAGGGAAATGGATAACTTTCAGGATTATAACAAAGCTTTCATGAACAGCGAAATGGCGGCGGAATCCTGTAAGTCACGGAATTAGGATACTATCGGTTAAGCTATCATTATGTATTATTATTATGGTAAAAAGAATATTACCCATCGCTTACCCCAGCATTCATATATTCCAAGAAAGTATAGAATGTTTTTCATCGAGTGCCTAATCACTTCTTTTCTGTTCAGCTCTTCTAGCCAATCAAGGAATTGATGACGACTCCGCTCTAAAGATTTCTAACATGGCTGCAATGCCTAATGGGATGGAAGACCGTGCATCTTCCAAAAAAGCAATGTCAGGTCGAATTAAGGGAAACCCCATGTCATTCAGTAAGCCTAACGTTGCAGGATTCCAACCAGATGAGTACCTACTCGACGCTAACTCATGGCCAGAATACAGAATCAAAGATTCTGATTACAATAACAAGAATTACCGAGTATTTCCTCAAGGGGGAGGGTACCAAGGAGGATACATGGGAGCTGCAATGCCTTACGGCCAAACAGCCGCTGCTGGAATGGAAGGTCCCTATGGTGATGGTAACTATGGCTTCCCCCCGGCTGGAGCACAACGCATGGTTAATGACGAGCAAGAACAAGCACAGGAACAAGCACAAGAGCAAGAGCAAGACCAGCCTTCACCTGTCTACCAAGATGAAGGTACCCCCATGTCAATGCCTCTACCTACAGATAGAAAGATGAGGCATCACAGAAAAATGAAGAACCCCGCGAGCGAGAATTATGGAGATGAAGCTCAACCACCAAGTAAAGCTCACAATGAAAGGGGATCGGGAAGCGGGAATAGTGATGGCTCAGGAAGCGGCAGCCACGACACGTCTAAACTTGTGCCTGGAATGCAAGATCAAGGAAAGGCAAAAACAGGAGAAGGAGCTGGAAAGGTAACAGTTGACACAAAACCAGATGGTACAGTCGTCACATCAAAGGCTGACTCCTCCTCTACTGGAAGTCCCGTAAAATCTGAACAAAGTAAAACGGAATCTAAAGCCCAGGAAAMCTCTTCTCCTCAACAAACACAGAATGAGAATTCATCCAGCAAGGGTACAGAAAATACCGGAAGTTCTAGCGATAGTAAGGAAGGAAGTAACAGTGATGCCGCACATTCAACTCTTGGAGATTTTGCCAAGTTCTTGAAATCAAAAGGCATAACTTTGACCATCAATAAAGAGAATAAAGATGCAAACAAACCACAGACATCGCAAGAAAAAGAAAACTCTTCTCCTGCAAAAYCACAACAAGAAGCCGGTCCACAAACGGATAAATCCGGAGCTTCTGCAATCCTTCCATCTACAGGAGAACCAACCTCAGACACAGCTGGTAATCCTACAATAAATATCAGTCCACAGTCGAATGACGATCAGCAAGTCCCAGAAAGACCTTTACATACAGGGGTGATGCGCTGGCAAAATCTTAACATGGCTCCTCAGGAGGAAAACCAAATGGGAGAACTTTTTTTACGACACAAAACTAAACCACATCACTAGAGACAATTGTCACAAGCTGTTTCATCAAAAACTGTTCAGAATACATACATTGTTTCCRATGGAAACAAACTTTATCAATACCAAGAATTGCTAGTCTTGATTTGAAGGAAGTCAGTACTGTACATCAAAGCATGCAATAAATTGTGATTAAATACTAGTATCATGGTTCAACCCCTTTTAGTTTTAACATTAATTGCTCGTTTTCAAGCATTCGGATGAGTTCAAAAGACAAACTGAAACCGGCGGCCATGTTCGATGAATGTACAATAAATAGAAATGAGAACTGAATCTTTTGTTGAATTTCATCCAAGATGGCCACTGTGACATATATTGCAATCGAAGAATATGATMAGAACTACCACCATCTTTGACCTTTCAATTTAAAAATAATAATTACCTGGAGAGTGAGAAAAGAAAGCGACAAAATGAAAGGAAATTAATAATAGAAATGACTGAGGTACAATGACAGATAATGGAAGACAAGAATGACTTCACCTYGTGACACAACAACTCTCTCAATAATCCTGGGCCGGGTTGTTCAAAGCCCGATTGTGCTAATCCTGGGTTAACTTTTACAAAACCTATGGACTTAACCCTGGATTAACGCTAATCGGGTTTTGAACAACCCGGCCCAGCAGTTCCAGTCCAACTTGAAGCCGGCGTACACCTTTTGCACCGAGTGACACGCTTCCATACTACTTTTCAAGATGGCATTGGGATTGTAAGAATATGTATTTCTTATTGTTTTGAGTACATCTGTAGAGCAATTGCAATCCCAAAATACGAGCACTTTGAATTGATATTTCGAGAGCCAGGACACTGAGCCTTAGGCAGCTTAAAAAGTGAGTTGTCCTGAGCAATTTTGAAGGAATTATAGCTGGGTGGGCTCCCCTTAGCCCACTTTATCCAAGTTTGCACAGATCTGATGCTCCATCCAACAAAATCCAGGACCATCAATTCGCGATATGGCATTGTGGGTCACCTGAAACGATTTGCTGGTGTGCGTAGATCCAGTCTTCCTCGTCCAGCCATGTATAAAGCCTAAATAAAACCACTACAGTAGRGTAGCCATTAATGTGAATGCTGGACAAAGGCTGAATTGAATATTACTGAATTGAATATTACCGCAGTCAAGATAAATGTAAACGCTGTATTACTTGTATTATTGCATTTATTGGTAGGTAACCCAGTGCTGCTAATTCGTACGGTAACTGACCATAAAGATGGCAGGCTCTTGAAAATGCCACTCTCGTACGCAAAGCCCGTATGTTCACCGCTGACATTTAGCCGTGAAGACTCTGGGCTCGAGGTTGTGAAAGGCAGTAAATTCGATATCCATAATGCACTTGGGTAGTTCTAACAGGTGACTGATTGGAGTAACGGTTGCTTGGTTCTCTAACAGTGATGACTTCATTTCCCGTTCACTTACGGTTTATAAAATGTTTTGAACGAGTGAAAGTTCAATAATCGGGCTTTTCGGTACGTATAAATATCATTTGAACTTAACAAAATGTTTTTTCTTTGTTTTACGTTAGTAAGAATGGTGCTAATCTCGTAGAAAATGGACGATTCAAAATGTTCTTATCTTTTAGTGCACGATGAGTGGCCACGGTTGGCTGGATTTCTGTTTTCTTCTTGTGGTTCTCTTCTGTAAGTATTATCAGTTCTGTATTTTTGCCCTCTGCCGCTTCAATCTGAAAATTTTCTATTTTTCTTAAGGTACAAGTACAGTTTATAGCAGGATTGTACAAGGTGAGTTCTTTGTATGATTTATGTTGTGTCTATTTGTATATAAAAAAACTTCTTAAGAGATGAAACCTTATAACATTGATCCAAATACTGTGAAACCAGAAACAATTATCAGTAATAGTCTCTTAAAGTACAACATTATGYATGTGAGAGGCGATAAATGGGATGGRTAATATCAATAATGAGGCTGGCTCAAAAGSTTTTTTTAGTGACAGTTTGTCACGCCTACTGCTTCACAATGCACACACACCTTGAATAAAGGTTGTTGTTATAACGTATTCTATCAAMGTTTATGATATAGATTSCGATCTTACGTGAGTTCTGATTGGCCCAAGTGCGTGATTTAAACCTGATAAAGCACTGTTAATGACTTATTTTTAGTAAAAGCTTGCGCGCGTCTTCTGTCTCTTCACCAGAAGTTTATACTAAAACTCCGAGTACGTCAAATATTTTTTTACTTCTAAAGCTGTCTACAAATAGACTCGCTTATAACAAGTTCTTCTTTATTAGAGCTGCCACATTCTGTGCATGTACTGAAGGGTAAGGCCGCTGAATTCTAAACTTTAGTCGTTTTTAGTGTACATACCAGACACACAGGTTGCAGTGCCACATCCAGCACTAACCGCACACAATAGATATCGTAGTGTACATCATTCTCCGCCATTAAACTGGTCAGACAGTCTGGCCAGCGAAGCTCAGGAGATCGCAGACAACATGGCGGGTAAAGGATCGTTTGCTACTGGTCAGCGGAATATGGCCATTAACTTGGGACAGAATCTCGCAAAGCTAGCAGGTGGGTGYGTGTTGATGTAGTTTAATCGTTYCGCATATCACATTTCTTTATATTTTTCTATTCTTTTCTACCTTTTCAAGTATTTGACACACACAAAAACAGCGTAAAGGGAAATTCATAGATATTATAAAATAATTTATCAGTGAGATTTATGAGTAACACATGACCGATAATTACTGACTGCCGTCATTGATGATTGTCGTAATTTTTGCAAACAAATGACTGTCAATACTCGTTGTTTCCACTTCGCCCYATGTAYGAGAATCTAARAGAGAACTACTGGATTYCGGATTCCGAAATATTGGATTCCGGATTTCAAGCCTAGAGATTCCGSATTCCAAAGAATTTTTGGATTTCAAAATTTTTGCTGGATTYCTGATTACAAAGCTGTATTTTACTGGATTCCGGATTTTCTTACATGAAGCAACCCAGTGAATATAGGTCTATGAAATATAAATAAGAGAAAGTGATATAGTACTAATTTAGGTTTTGTTTGTTTCGACAATTTCAGCAAATTATTATTCATCATTATGTGAAATGAATCTAACAGTGAAATCATTTTAATGAACGCGGCCCTCCGTTGTGAACATGTGTAAGATGTACACCTTCTTGACTGACATTAGTAATATAATTTAAGGTCAAATGACATGCGAAGATGCAGGAGAAATTGCTACTAACCTATGGTACAGTCAAGCTAAAAACTACAGCTACTCTGACCCGAGACTTAATGCTGATACAGATACCTTTACACAGGTAAAAACGCACAGGAAGCACTCGTAACAAACTGATAAACTATGTTTAATTGTGTTTRTTTTTCATTTGCAGGTCGTGTGGAAAGGCAGTAAAGAAATAGGAGTCGGCTGTGCGCGAACGTCAGACTTCTCGGGTCCAGTCTACATTGTTGCTCTATACCGCCCGGCAGGAAATATTCCCAGAATCCTTCACGACAACGTCATTTCTCCAGGAGCGAAAGGCAATGATCCTGACGTCTACTCTACGCTATTTCGACGTAACTTCGAAAAAAATAAAAGGCGGTTCGAAAAAAATAAAAGGCGGAAACCTTAATAGTTTTATCGAGGACACATATTGCCTACCAAAGAATTGAAGAATGTTATATTTTTTAATCCACAACTTCTATACACTTGTTCAATGGAGGCAGCAGTGCACATTGCTCAAATTTACATACACATCAGAGGTGATATGTACGCATGCGCAGGAGGTGAACATCAATTGTTGTACATAGAAGAGGATGAAGTAGAGACAAGGCATTGAACATTGAAGTCACGTATAAACACATCAGAGAGTTATCCGTTAGATCAAAGCTATCCACTAAATAGATGTTATAATGATTACATCTGCTGGATAAGTATTAGTGGATCACACTTTTTGCCTAACAATTATCAGGTCAATTTTTTCAATAAACAACGATCGATAGAAAGGTATCAAATTGTTAATCTATGATGCTGTCATTCAAAAGTAACTTGGTAGTATATTAAGGCAACCTTCTCAGTGCTTTCTTATAATCTCTTCTAAAAGAAAAGGCACTCTTAGAGCATTTACCCGGGCAACGTCCTGAAACAATCTTAAGGTGGCGCAACAGAGGATTTGTAGTTTTCAAGGAATACACATTTATCTAAAAAATAATCACGTATAATTTATTTGTTTGCTTTTGCTTTAAATCTACGAAGATTCAAGCACATATAGTAAATATATACAACTCTCTAATCATATATTATCCGCTACATCTATCAAAAAAATAAATACCACAACATAAATTAAAAAAAAAATAAGACAACGATCTGAAAGAGACTTATCATGTGGGATCTCTGCCCAATCATAATAATTTAACGATATTCGATGATAGAATTTTCACTATCAGTCATGACTCTTCATTTCCTAATAAAAWGTCCGACGCTGACCCCGTATTGAACGGCCTTCTTTGATTGCCTTGTGTAGTCAAACCTTTGAAGCACTTTATAACGGATTGTGGGCACACATTCTTGGTTACCCTGGAGAAAGATAATGTTCTTATTACGTGATCTGTATTCTCTTCAGTCTCTCGCATTGTCCCTAAGCTACACTTTGAGAGCTCTATTTCTATATGGCGGTCGCTGTTCGAGCTGTACAATATGACTAGACGTCATGCCGGAAACGAGATTTGCCTGGGAGCGAGGCTATGTAACCTGCTATGAATCATGAGATTTATCTTTTGGAAGGGAAAAAGTAAAGTCGGAACACAAGGGGAAAATATAAATATATAAGGGCGGGTCCTTTTCCGCCCCGAACACATCAATTATAAATTGACTACAATGGATGCCTACAATTGATGAGTCTTAAAATGGTGAATATCAAATGATTCTTTGATAATAAATTCGCTCCAATAGACGAAACATTTCAAGAAGGCGCAGGGAGAACTGGAGACTACCTTAGCATATTAAAAGTGTGATTAGAATCTCACCTTGAGTTGAATTCAGCTGATATTTGTTCTAATGTTCTATTTTTTGTCTCGGGGACGTATTTATAAATAAATATGACTGATCCAATACCAATAAAGGAATATAGGAAAAAAGTCCACGATGTCCCAATTAAACCTGAAAAAATCATGGAAAAGGTTGGATTATGAAACAAATGATGCAAATAACGATAATTGATGAAAATTGTTATAATAAACATTGATTTTGACTCACCCATGATGTCTAAGAAAGTCAGCGATAYGATCAAATTGGTTCCCCAGTTAAGTACCGTAACGATGGAAAAAGYCCGTCCTTTGATAGCAGCCGGGAAGATTTCACTTAATAGAAGCCACGACACTAAATACAACAGGGCAAAATAGAACAAAACAAAGATTATGGATAACAAATGATAGAAAATAAGAACAATTGAATGGAATTTGAGAGAATAGGATAGGACAGAATGGAATAGAATAATACAGAATGAGATTCGGAATCAAAGAGAATGGAATTGAAAGAAATAGAATGGGAAAAAATTGCAAAACAGAATAATGAAAAATGAATTGAAAGGATTAATATCAAACAGAATAAAATAGTGACTATAACGGTTGTTGCCATAAACTAACTGAATACATATATATACTGGGTGATTGATTTGCKACCAGGCCTGCATATGAATTCGCCAAGGTTGTAAGCCAGTGAGCCCGTGCATTTTTGTTAAGCGGTCATATTTGAAAGTGTAATAAATAAAGGAAAGGGAAAACCCGCAGCTCTCTATTCACTCAGATAAACAGTACAAGTCGTGTTAAATTTATTTACAWAACTAAACAAAATGATTATAGAATTAAACCTTTAAGAATTGAATGCTCATATCAAACATTTTCCACCTTAAATACACACGTGTTTTTCAGAAGGGAATTTAGTCGAACTTTTTTCACGATGGAATTTTGTTTTGAGTCGTTTCAACATAAACAGTCGCTATCAAGAYATWAYGYGAAAAACCCCAGTCACCGTACTAGCTCTCGTTGTAAGGTCAAAGCTAGTAAATGTGTAACCGGCCWGTTACAAAACGTCAACCTGTTGTATCGTCGAGCACGCTTGCGGCTTATTGYCGAAAATGCGACAAAGGATGAACTACGACWGTTGTCACTACCAAAAATAACAAACGCTTTAACTCTATTGGAATACGTGGAGCTAAGCTGCTCTAGCTCTTTCAGTGATGTTGTAGATACCCCAAAGCTTAGAGGAAACAAGAGCTAAGAAAAAGGATTTGCAATRGYTCCTCCTAAGATACTTTGGACTTGAACTTCGCTTCAACGACCTTCTGAAGTCTTSGTGAAGTCGTCCATTGCTTCGCATGCATTCATGTGGAGAACCCGCATAGAACACAGACCAATTATTTTTATCAGGGAGGGGAGGCTCTTGGTATTAAAGAAAACATTATTTATTATTTAATTTTTAAGGTAAAATTCTATTTCTATAACGATAAATATTTGATTGACATTTAATAAAAGCTATTTTATAAAGATTTTCAATTTCTCTTTGCGTTTTAGCTTTGATTTTTCGGATAGAATAAAATGGCAGGCAGCCTACTCCACTGGGTCGAGTTTTGCTGTGCAAATTCCTCCCGTCGGGGGGTTACGTTTACAACATAAGCTTGTCAGCTTTGCGCTGATTGGCTAGTCGCATTTTCTCAAATCACCCAGTAAACACTGATTTTAAAACTACAACATGATGACGAAAACATACCAGGTCCAAAGCCAAACGAGAAGGCACCAACAAAGGTCACCATAGCAGTAAGAGATATATACCGTAGTGTTGGGTTKAGAGGTGAATATCCCGTATCGGTACCATTAATCAACGACTGATTACTGGCAGGGGTAGGGTGGGTAGTATTTAACAATGGGCTGGTATAGTGGCATTTAGCTGATGGTTGGCCAAAAGGACGCATATGAACTACTACTCCAAGGACTAGTATGCTGATACTCATTAGAGACGAACCAATCAACAAGAATCTACGGCGTCCTATAACAGAAATCACAAAAGTGATTGGATAGTTATCAAATCATGTATCTTATATGAGCTTATATCCTGCGAGAAATTCTCCAAGGTTTATGTAATCATGTTTTACGCTGGTGTTATTGGTGCGGCTGATGTTGCTTATCCTACTGTTGATGATGCTCCAGGTGATGTTGTTGTTGTTGTTGTTGTTGTTGTTGTTGATTCAGGTGATTTTGTTTCTTTTGTTAACATTGTCACAAAGGTGAAATCGTGCAGTAATCAATCAGTCAGTTTCTTGTCATGGTTTTACTCCCGTTGTTGTTATTGCTGTTGTTATTATTCAAATGTTGCTGATAATGTTGTTGCTGCGATAATCATTACTATAACACAAGGAAGATGTAAGTTCAGAATACTTACCTCCTCTATCAACAGTCAGCAGGGACGCAATGGTTGCCATGAGCTGAAAATAGAATGGTACCTTGCTTTGATGAATTGTTTCCTTGAATACTTTCTCCCTAGCCAAATTACCTGCTTTTAAGCTACAAGCTACGCTCTTCCTGCCATCCTTATTCATCAGSGAGCACAAAACTTCGTTTTACAACACTACCTCTTGCTGTATAACTTTCYGCAAAGTTGGCTACACTCTCCCCTTTCTYTCTGCCTGRGAAGAGAGTCTGTCAGACAAACCTTTGCTATACCAATGCTGATGGCTGCAAGGGTAGCTTTGTCTTTTGTTTCAAATCCAAGAACTTGAAAGATTGTTGATGCATAGTAMACAACAGTAGGTTGACCTGTAATCTAAAGTAATAAACATCAAAMATTACATGTTTTTAACCCTTGTAATAATGCAGTTTATTCCTAGCCCTGTGAAGTTTCTCCTATTTCCTCCCTTCCATGTCAAACGACTGTAGACTGCCTCTTAATTTTTCTTTATTTCTTTTTTGTCAAACATAGCACATGAAACTCATCCATCTTAGGACAGCCATTCCCCTCACCTCCACTGTGGAATAAAACCCATGAGGGGAGGGGTCAGTTGATGAACGGTTTAACAGACTAGGAGATTATACAAAACACACCTGGCTGGATGAAGCTACACTACATGTACATGTTATTCTACAAAAACATACCTGTTGAAAGATCACCACTCCACCTCCTACCAACATTCTTTGTCTCATGCTGTTTTTCTTGCTAAAGAGATCTTGTAGTCTATATTGCTGTCAATAAAAACATTAGTCTAGTATCTCCATAACCTGCTCTGATTCACACTACACATATAACACAAATCAATCCATCAATTAATCAATCAATCATTAAAGTTATACATAAATTCAAAAAATTGATTACAGTCTGACTGATAAAAACAATGATAGACACTATTTCTTACATAGTTGTTTTGCAATCCAGTTTTGATCTTGTTCATCTCATCATAAGGATCACCTGACCAATGGAGTCGTTGTATTGAGGAACATGCCTGATAAATTCATTAAAGATTTACACTTCTATCACACCAGCTTAAAAACATTATACAGTTTATGACATATCTGAACATTTATGAGGGACCTGCAGATTTTCACAGTTTAATATGAAATTATAACAAATCATCTTTGTGTTGAACTTGCTCTTAACTTTCAGTCTTGCTTATAACATAAGTTTTACCTCACCAAGTATCATACAATTTTAGTGATTGCAGGTGAAACTTGATAGAAAACTTGATAGAAGTTAATGTGAAATTCACGAAAACAAACAACAAAAGAATGAAAGAACAGAAAAATGAACAACTGTTAACCTTTCTATCTTGTCCTTTCACTACAAGCCACCTTGGACTTTGAGGAAGAAAAAACATTCCTATTCCTTGAATTAAGGCTGGAATACCAGACAGACCAAACATGTATCTCCTGCACAACACAAAGTAATACATGAACATTCAATACATTGAGCCTAATCTAAAGGAATCAAAAATCTTTTAGAAGCTCTTCTTTTAGTTTGTTGTAAAACACACATATGAGAATTTCTAAAATGTTTGGGGTAGACTTATACATCATGTTGACTTATACACCATGTTGACTTATACACCATGTTGACTTATACACCAGCAAACACAGTATTACGCTATGCAGAAGCATTGCATGACACATTTGAGTAAACCTAAGACTATAACTTACCATCCAGAAGCAATATTAATCAGGAAGAAGTTAACCAGGTAAGCAAACAACAGCCCAAGACAAATTCCCAATTCATTGAGAGAAACAAGCATTCCACGCCATCTCTAAATTAAAATAGTAAAAATAATAAATCACTATTTTTAATGCATGAATTAAGTCAGATGAATATTGCTAAAAACTGTGTTGACACCAATACAATCATGGATAAGAAATATGACAAATACTTAAAAAAAAACTTAATTGATGATGACTGATGTGATAATGCTACAGATGATGTTGATCATTTTAATAGTAAGAATTACTTACTGGTGGTGCTATCTCAGAAATGTAAGCACATTCAGCAGTTCCTGATAAAGAGACCCCAAAACCTACAATGAGTCGACCAATGACCTGGAGGCAAAAGAAAAACAYACATCATTATTAGACTATTTAAACTATCAAAAATAATGAATTGATTGATGCTGTTTGTCACATGGAATTATAGAATTGATTTATCTACTTTGTCAAGAACATCAGGACATTGATGATGATAGTAGATACTCATTAATTAATTAACCCATTTACAAAATAACTTATTAGTTTTATCATCAGATAAGTTAATGAATGATTACCAGCACTGGATAAGACTGAGCAGCTGCTAATATTACAGCACCAACAAAGAAGATCCCAGAATTGATGATTATAGCCAGACGTCTACCCAGAAAATCAATTATAAAGCCTAGTGGTGAGATATGATACATTAGATTRAATCAAGGGATTATCGACCTATAATTGATGATTATAGCCAGTCAGTCAGTCATTACAAAGCATAGTGACACTGAATAACATGTAAAGTAGTATCATTAGTACAACGACTTTTTATCTTTCTTCTAGCTTTATAGAAATTGCTCTGTTGCAATAATTTTTTGTAAAGTTAATGTTCCAGCCTTGTTAAACTTGTTCTACAAGTCGATTTGTTCAAACAGCTAAATGTTTTCTGGTTATGACACATAAGCTTAATCAAGGTTTGAATCACATGCATTATCGCTATAGAATCCCCCATAAAGCAATCTATTGGTCCCGGGGGGGGTATTCCCCCGAAACTTGTGTGGGGGTGTGCCGCTGGGACCTCAAAACCCTGACCCTGTTCCAGAGTGAAATCGCTGATAACTATACCCTGTTCCAGAGTAAAATCGCTGAAAACGATACCCTGTTCCAGAGTAAAATCCTGCACTAGCTTGTGTGTAGACCGAATTTTTACCCCATGAATTTTTATCCAGCATCAATAATTCCGGAATTCAACCCTGACCCTGTTCCAGAGAAAATTCGTTGAAATCGATACCCTGTTCCAGAGTAAAATCGCTAAAATCGATACCCAGTTCCAGAGTAAAATCGCTGAAAACGATACCCTAGCTGGCGGCACGTCCCCGTATAGCGAATATAGGGGAGTACCCCCCCCGGGCTATTGGTATATTATCCAGGAGCTATATAACTATGTTAATCTATGCTAGGTAAAATCATAAAAATACCTCCTGTAAGTGAAGCAATCACAGCACCCATCAACATTGAACTGACAACCATTTCTTGTTGCAAACAATCCATATCAAACTCATGTCTCAACTGTAATACTGCACCAGATACTATACCTGTAAAATCATGAATCAKACTAAGATTTGCCAGACAAGCAAGTGAGAACACTTCAAACATTGGTACATTACTCAGAGGGRAGAGCGTTGTTCTGTAAGTCTCTGGCTCTGTTGTCATTAATTTTCACCCATATACAGTCAACTTTCACCTTAAAGACACCCCGACAATGGACACCTCGATATTGCGGACAGTAAAATACTGAATCCCAAGTGAAAAATACAAAGAAATGACTGAAAATAAAAAAAATAAAAACTTTTGTTACTACAGACTCTCATACTGCGGACACTAAATTACGGTCCCGAGGGTGTCCGTAAATAGCAAGAGTTGACTGCAGCATAGCTATTAACTATGCATATAGACACCAAAAGTTCTCCAAAAGACCATGGCCTAAATCAGCTAAATAATTAAATAACCCTTTTTTATTAAAATGACAAGAAAAATGAAAATAATAGAAAGTACTAAAAACCACATAGTGCTATATAGAGCAATATAGTATATATTATATAGTTTATAGTATTTTTTACTAATTTTGTACTCTGAGCAATCAATAAATTCAATTATTTCAAGATCAAAGAATTGTCCTTTATACATCTAGACCCTGAAAGATATCAAAAACTAGAGGCATTTCACCTATGTGTAGTGATTATCTGTTAAGTACTACAGGAAGAATAAGACAACAGCTTCATCATTTAACATTTAATTTACATGTAATATCATTGTTTAATATTTATCACGACTGGCATCATACCAATGTCATATCCAAAGAGTACACCCCCTARACCAGCCATRAYAGATGCYAGTAACATGATGGTTTGACGTGGACARAACCAACAGCATTCTTCAAGTGGTTGTCTATTAAAGCAAAAAGTATTCATGATAGAACAACAGGTAATTCTGATCATAGTTAACTATGTTCTGATATTGTCGTGATACAACCCTGACAGGGTAATTTCAAGGAAGTCATAGCAACATTAAAAAATAGTCTGTTTCAGAATTGCTTGCAGTTCCCTCTGATTCCAGTAACTGCCCCAGGGATTGTTTACCAGAGTAAAATCACTAAAAACGATATCCTGGTTGGCGGCAAATATAGGGCAGTAACCCCCGGGGTAACCACGCACCTTAATAAAACAGTGAACATGTTATGATAAAAACCTTCTTCACAATTATTCATAGGTATCATTAACTTGAATTGAATGCTTACTGTACCATCAAAAATTACCTTATAGTTACAGGTTCTATCAACTCAAATTCGTCATTGAAGGTTTCTTTCTCAGATTGTTGTGATGGCAATATCAGTCTCTCTATAAAAATCGTTAAACAACACTAATGTATGCTCAAAAAAATCATTTCATGACCTGCTCTGGTATCTATCATGCAAACGAATACAAAATCGGTAAACGTATTCTAACATTTCTATGGTGAATTTATCTCAAGCTATCAATAGGTGTGATTTGAAGTATAAAATACTAAAMAGATTTTAAAAATCCACCTACACTGACCTGTATCGCTTGKGCACATATTTTCCTCTCTACTGTCCGCCATTTTGAATCAGCCTTCCATACCACAGGGAGCCCAAACATTGTTCGTAAAAAAGCAGGCCGGCAGTGCGCTAAAAGGTAGTAGTACTTGGCCTTCGTTGCAGACGTTATCAATATCGGCCATACGTTCCGAAAGACGTTGTTGTAGAGAGAACTAATGAACGATACTAGTAACTTCTGCAAATGAGGCTTCCTGGATCTCCCTGTAGCTCCCTGCTAGCAGAGTCTCTCACGTTGAGTTCTGATAGTAATCGAGAACTCTTTGGGAACTACAACATGATACTCAGCTAGCAGGGAACCAAAGCACCGATGCCGATTCACGTACAGGGTAGTGCAACCATTTTAATTGTTTTTTTTCTAGGACACATACATAGGAGGACTCTTCTCACGAGCATCCCCGGTACTTGACCCCGGGGAGTACTCATTCTCGCTACGCCCTGAGACACCAATATGAAACTAGGAGCGTAGCCATAAGTTTTAGAATGTAGGAGGAGTGCAAGGAGTCACACGGAGAGAGCAACATCGATGCCGGATTAATACAAAGTTGATCTATTGGTATGAACTCACGACAGTTTATCTGAACTTGGGCACCGACAAAAGAATGCCGTGTGTTTTGGCAATTATGGTTTGAAATAAAAACATTTCAAGCATAATTGACTTCAAAGGTTAACGTTAATTTTAAAATACTCGATTAACAGATGTGTTTGTTGACTTATTATTCTTGGCAGTTTATTTTATAGGCTCGCCAAAGCGGGCCGTTTATATCTTGCACCACTCCAGTGTTGTTAGTCTAGCTAAGTCGCCATAAAATAAACACTCCGATGTGATATCGGATATGCTTGGAAATTTTTTCACCTCAAAAATCGTACATGTTAGATTAGAGTTCCGATATCTCATCTAGGATAGGCTACATACCACACCCTAAGATCTCATGATGCTGGCATTACTAGCATTACATTGAATATAGTTTATGTAGCAATTTTTCGTGGCGTATAGTGTTAATTTCAATACTATGCAAAAATCTATAGTTTAGCTTGCACTCCAAACACTATCCACACAAAAAAAAACATTCATCCAAATGATCGTGACGTGCGTGTGCGTCAAAAGCAATCCACTCAAATCCTTAAGAAATACAGTGTGACGCATGAAATGTTAGACGGATTGCTCGGTAAGTAAATAACTGTATATGCAGAAAGATATGGAGATATAAGACTAACCCCTTACACTTTTGCTGAGCTCAGAACAAATAGTTCTTCAGCTTCACAAACCGCAACTTAAACCATACAGGCCTTCTGTTCTTGTCTCGGTTTTCACTGACACTGGTACCCCGCGGCTTGTCCCAGACGTTTCCATCGAACTTTCTGGCTGCGCAAAGCTGCCCAATTACGGCGTTTAGCCCTGAATTAATCGTGGCCTACAGAGAAGATATAGAAACCTCTGGTACCAGTGTAGTCCGGAGGTTAATCAGSGGATGGAGTTGTTGACGTAACGTGTGTACTGTCGCGATTGCCAATAAACCCCGGCAATAAACACAATTAAACAGACACAAAATGATTTCCATGCCTTAATTTTTGTGCGAATACACGTAATCATCGTATAATAAAAATGCTTTAATAATTTTTACCTCGACAAATCTCGAATTGTTTATCAATAGTCAAAAGTGTGTCCAT